CAGTAGTATGTTGGGTTACTATCTGGAAGAGCCTTTATCTATCCTGGCCAACAACTTGACTGAAGGTATCGCCTGTCTGGCTTTGCTGTTTGTCGAGTAACTTTTAGTTATGTATATTAAGATGAATAGAATTAGGTTTAGATTTTGGAACCATCACCCCAGTTTCCATGGATGTAATGCTCTAGAGACAGCAGAGTCAATGCAGAAAGGACGATTCTGTTCCTGGTATTTTAGAGGCCTTTCTAGAAGAAATGTAGGCTAGATCATCTCAGTCGAATGAGTCTGAGTCACAGAGGGTATGTATAATGATTGCTCAAGTGCCTGTGAGCTGATGAGTCAGAAGAGATAGAGTGAGAGGCTAATAGCAGTCATTATTCAGGGTGCAAGCTGGCCTCGGACACTGCTGGGTCACATTTACAGTCACTATGGCTATGTCACACTCTCATTGCCTGCCCAAGCCAGAGGCGGGGTGTCCTTGATCTCTCCCTACTTAATATTTTGAGACAGGGTCTCTTACTGAGCCTGAGGTTCATAGGTTGGCTGGCCAGTGGTGAGAGGCTAATAGCAGTCATTATTCAGGGTGCAAGCTGGCCTCGGACACTGCTGGGTCACATTTACAGTCACTATGGCTATGTCACACTCTCATTGCCTGCCCAAGCCAGAGGCGGGGTGTCCTTGATCTCTCCCTACTTAATATTTTGAGACAGGGTCTCTTACTGAGCCTGAGGTTCATAGGTTGGCTGGCCAGTGGAATCTGGGAATTCTTGTCTCTGCCCCCTCTCAACACTAGAGTTACAGGTGCACATCTCTGTGCCCCGCTTTTTTTACGTGGGTGCTGGCGATCCAAACTCAGGTCTTCCCAATTGTGGGGCAGGCACTTCTCAACTGAGCCACCTCTCCAGCTCCTTGCCTGCTTTTTTATGGCTTTTATCCCTCTAGTTCTTCACTAAGATCCTTGGCATTTTTTTTTTCCACTCAAATTTGGGAAGGAGAGAGGGAGTTTGATTAGATTCACTAATTAATGTTACCCATACTGGTCAGTTTCATGGCCAGCCCACCCTGTAGGTGGCCAGCTACTCAAGAGTGAGAGGCTAATAGCAGTCATTATTCAGGGTGCAAGCTGGCCTCAGACACTGCTGGGTCACATTTACAGTCAGTATGGCTATGTCACACTCTCATTGCCTGCCCAAGCCAGAGGCGGGGTGTCCTTGATCTCTCCCTACTTAATATTTTGAGACAGGGTCTCTTACTGAGCCTGAGGTTCATAGGTTGGCTGGCCAGTGGAATCTGGGAATTCCTGTCTCTGCCCCCTCTCAACACTAGAGTTACAGGTGCACATCTCTGTGCCCAGCTTTTTTACGTGGGTGCTGGCGATCCAAACTCAGGTCTTCCCAATTGTGGGGCAGGCACTTCTCAACTGAGCCACCTCTCCAGCTCCCTGCCTGCTTTTTTATGGCTTTTATCCCTCCAGTTCTTCACTAAGATCCTTGGCATTTTTTTTCCACTCAAATTTGGGAAGGAGAGAGGGAGTTTGACTAGATTCACTAATTAATGTTGCCCATACTGGTCAGTTTCATGGCCAGCCCACCCTGTAGGTGGCCAGCTACTCGCCACCTCTCCAGCTCCCTGCCTGCTTTTTTATGGCTTTTATCCCTCCAGTTCTTCACTAAGATCCTTGGCATTTTTTTTCCACTCAAATTTGGGAAGGAGAGAGGGAGTTTGACTAGATTCACTAATTAATGTTGCCCATACTGGTCAGTTTCATGGCCAGCCCACCCTGTAGGTGGCCAGCTACTCTGTACAGTTAGCGCCCATGGGTCTGAATTGACAATGAGTCAATTTCACCCTTCAAAGTCTAGGGTTAGGCCAAGCATGCTGGCGTGTGCCTGTAAGTGCTAAGCACTAGAGTAGCTGGGGCAGGAGGATGTAGTTTTTTGAGGCCAACGTATGCTACATAGTGGAACCCTGTTTCAGAAGCCTAAAAGCCAAACAAGCCTAGAATTGGTTTCCTTGGAAGGGCACTTTGGGTAGGATTTTGAGCAAACATGCCAGGTCATTCTGAGTGCATTCAGGAGCTGCTAGTGACTGCCGCAAATAGACTTTAAAGTGGGAGTTGGGTTTGCATTTTGACCCTGCCACTTACTAGTTGTATTTTAAAACCGCAAAGTTGGATTTCTCATCTGTAAAATGATACTTTCCTTATGGAGTTCTTGTCAAAGCTAGACAAGTTTAGACACTTAACACTGTCTGATAGGGGGAGGGGAATCAATAACGAATAGCTCTGGGGAGTATGATGTTGGAGATGATTTTGCCATTAGAGTCCTGACAAGATGCAGATTTTAACGAGACAGTACTAGAGATGTTTGTGAAGGGTTGCTCAGTGAGCAGAGTTAGGGAGCTGAACATAGATGTTAGGCACCCAGAGATGAGTAGCAAGAAGGAGTTGTTGCTACTCTGTCCTGAAGGGGCACAGTATCACGGAGCTTAGGAAGAGCTGGGTTCTTGGAGTGGAGACCACTTGACAGACTCTGCAGGAAGCAGCCACTGCTAATGCAAGTGAAGCAGGGAAGGATGGGAAGGGAATTTGGTATGCTCTGATCTGAACCCGTGCCTCTGGTGACCTAAACCAATACAGCAAAGGAGGCTGGGAGAAGTGCCTTAGAAGTCAGTTTCCTAGGCCACAGAGAAGGGTGGAGGCTGAAAGGGGGCGAGAAACAAACAGCAGGATGAAGACGGTGGTGGTGATTGGAGCTGTACTGATGGGCTTATTAGGTTTGAAATAAAGCTGGCATTAAATATACAAGCATCTACAGAAACGTGGCAATGGGATGTCATTCCTACCCTAGATTTTCACAGAATCATGGAGTATTTAGGCTGTTTATATGTGATATCAAACCATCTGAGTAAAATATTTTTAAATACTCCTTTAGTCAACTGGGCCTTGGGACAACATGAGGGCAGTGAATGCATTGAGTAGGTGTCAACTGGGGACAGGAGATGTGTAGGCAGCAGGCAGGGCTTTGACAAATGACTCTGTGTGGGTTTATTGACAAGCACACAAGACTACCTGTGTGGAGGCCGCAGTAGTGGAATTCTTGTGTGTCAGCTGCGGGCTGTGAGAATGGGCACAGTGTTCCTGGGGCTTGGAGTTCATAAACTATTTGAGTGAGAAAAAAATGCCAGCACAGAGCAAAGTATTTGCTTTTGTAAACCAGGTTTGTTCTCACAATGGGTTCTTTGCCCTTTATTGTATTTTGTAAATAGCAAATAACAGATGTAGGGGCTTGAGATTTGTCTCTGGTGTTTTGGTGTGTGGTTTTTGGTCCCCTGGTGCTAAACTCTTCACTGGGGA